GAATCCCAATTCTGAATCGAAATACAAAATGCAACATACATTGTGTAAAATCAGTAAGCCATCATACGGCTTATTGTTGTCGGTACATATGGTACAACCGATGTAGTGAGATCCTTGTACACAAGTATTACTCCTACAATGATGATTATCCATGTGTTGTGTGTCTGCAATGATGACACATGTAATCATCTAAGTGACGGACTTCAAAATGAAGGATTTGGGAACCAAAATAACGTTTGTTATTACAACTTGAGCACCTTCGTTCATACATTATGGTATACTATGTTGTCTATATCCAAAATATATTGGAGAAATTCATTGTGGACAAATCTTATCCGTCCATAACTCTCATGCTAGTTCATTCTCTAGACATAGAGAAAGATCTATTTTAGATCAAGAGATGATGGAAATGAGATATTGGGACTCAACGTTCCATATGCCATTGGATCGACCAAACACAATTGGTTGGTAATCAAGAATATCTTTCGATATCTCCAAGGCGTGAAACATCTTGTCCTGGTTTTTCAGTTTTGGAGAAATCTGAACACCAATATCATTGGATACATCGATCAGATCCCCACTATGTCAAATCATAGACAAGTTTAGTGTTCCTACTAGGTAAGGATGGCAATGGGTCGGGTTTGGACCGGGTTGAATAATATCTAATTCATATCCATATCCATGAAGATAGTCTTTGCTAAACCATGAAAATATCCATGGATGAAAAATTGTGTCCATGTCCAAACCCGTCGGATATCCATACCCACTGGATATCCATTGGGTCCTCTCAAGACATATAAATAAGACATAATACAATGTTAACATAAGCTCTTCCAATCTTTAGCTCATGGCAGGCTAGGCCTCACTTACGGTAAACAACAACTTATGGTAAATCAACGCCCACTAACAACCAAATATCATTTAGAAATTTTTTTCCTAATAGATGAGAATGACGAGTCATTTAATAAGGAGATAAAAATAAGAGAATGGGTGTTGGAGTATGTTATGGATGGGATTGAATGTCAACTATTAAAAGTTACGACGGGAATTGTGCAATTTATTTTGCATGTTTTAGATAACAAAATGTAAAATTGCAGCAGGACATGTGACTGTGGGGTAGGGATAGCATATTTTTGCCCAATAAGTCATACTATCTGGTCGGGTTTGGATATATCCACGGGTACAAGATTATATCAATGTCCTACCCACGAGCAATCGGGTCGGTTTTGGGCACCGCCCATGGACACAAAAGCATATCCAAACCCTATCCATTCGGGTCGGATATCCATGGGTATCCATGTCCATGGATAAAATTGTCATCCTTACTACTAGGTGTGGTAGCCCTCTCATGAAGAGTCTTCGGAATAGACCTCATGGCTACATTCACCAACCATTATCTCAACGATAATGTTTCTTGTGTTGCCCGGATGCAAACAGGTTACATAATAAGCAATATCACTATATTGCATATTTTGCAAGTCAAATCATGCGACTGATTTGTTCAGCGGGTCTCTACCAACTTCTATGTTTTGGTATGTGACAGCTTCAAATTTTTGCAAGAATTAGGGGGAGTATCTTCCTGAATTGTTCCTGTTCAATGCATCATATTATACTCTTTTTCCCTTCATGAAGGTTTTTAATGAGGTAATATCAACATGAGATCATATGTCATACTTACTGTTTTCCCCACCGGGGTTTTTAGGAAAGTATATACGACATATTTATTGTCCTCTAAACTCTATGGGTTTTCTTGTATTGAGTTAAAAGAGACAATAACCATTATATATGTTGCATCATTTTCTCCTTATTTTTTCCACTGGGTTTGAAGGAGTTTTAGCAACATATGGAACACCTATCTCCTTATATTTTTCCCACAGGGTTTTTGAAGGAGCTTCTCAAGATGATGATACTTACACTAACAAGCATGGATTAGGGGGAGTGTTAGGATTTAATTAATCCTATTAATCCCTGCTTTTTCTAACCGAGGCGATTGCCTCACATCCCTTCAGTCGCACCCCTTCAGGGGCTATATATATGTATAATCCCATCATCAATGAGAACAAGAGTTTACTTTTACATCATGGTGTTTGTCTCTAGTTTCTCACTCGATCTCAATTCTAAACAAATTAATTGGTCTTGTTTACTTGCATGAGTTGTCTCACGAATGTGTATATTACTCCCTCCCTAGTGATCTAAACACTCTTATATTTCTTTACGGAGGAAGTAGCTTCGAGTCGGACAGAAGAGACTTCCAACACTATTAAAGGCACAACTTACATCAGAGCCAACCAAATAAACCAGCCTTTCTATGTTATATATGAAGCTCCTTTGTGCAAGCATTTTTACCCTTTGCTTTACTACTGAAGAGCATGAAAATGATACCATCTGAAAATTAGATCAGAAACTGTTACACCCCAAAGAAATATATACAATTCTTACCACTGACTGTTCAGCTAAACTGGCAAGCAAGTAGCCTGATTCCATTCTATCACAATCATTACCTAAAAAGGCTTTCGCCCCGTTTTATATTATAAAGCAAATATCACAATCATTTACCGGAGACGACCGTTAGCCACCCATGCTCAGGACGCTCGAGCACCAGCTGGGCATACCCATGCCACGCCTTTCTCGATCACTTGGCCGTCCGTGTTGCCGTGGACCCACCGACGACTCTGACAACCGGGGCTCAAGCAAAACGATACCGCTGGGGAAACTGCATTCAGATTATCTGTTGCAAAGCGAGAATATTGGTTAAACATGCGGTTTAATGAAAATAATGATGATATATCTGGGTAAAATGCAAACTCGCGCATCTACGCTGATCGATGACAAATACTCGTACAGTTGCAGAGACTACAAAGGAATTGAAGTGCAGCTATAAATACAGTAAAGATCATCAAAACAAGATACTACAAAACTATTCGACTAAACCTTCAATCCCCAAATCACAACCGGATTCTGTTCGACAGACCAGTCCACATAAGCATCACACAAGTGGCCATTCAGCCTGCCAGAGTCTGCCACTACTATACGTCAATCCTAACACACTTCCAATGGTAACTACAAATGATATCCCGGTCCAAGGTCCATGATAAGGCACATGTGGAGGCGTATTTACTGCCTGCATTAGAGATGAGCTCAACAGCTTAGCCGCAGCTGGGCTTATAAACCAGTGTGGGCACGTCTCGCCAAGCCAGGTGGGACTAAACTTCCCCTGCCCCGCGGCTGTGCCACCGCCGGCCCTTTAGTCCCGGTTGGTGGCTCCAACAGGGACAAAAGGCCCCCCTTATAATATGCTAATAAATATAACAAGTTTTATATATAAACGTACAACAATCAATAGTTTTTAATAGGTTGTCTAGTGTAAGCAAGTAGGTGTTGCAAAGTAGCTATGGAATCATAGTAAGCACCATACATAGCATGTAGAATAGAAACTAAAAATGATAGTAATGGATTCTTATAAGACATTTATAGAGGTAGATAACCCCCATTTGAAAAAACAATGCTAAAGGTGGCTCTTTGTTTCCCTATGCCTCCCATGATGACATGCTCAAACTGGTTCCCCTTGAAGCGAAACAAGAAAGGAACATTGTACCATCAAGTTCTTCATATATCTTTAGTGGGTGATATTACATTTCAGTTTGATTTTGGCACGAAGAAGATAGGGACTGGATACTACGATTTATGCTTGATGACAATGATGAATCTGAGATGTATGTGGTCAGTCCTCCCATACATTGCGTACAGTGGTATTCAAAGCCTTGTCGCAAGCCAACAAATAAACTGTGTAGTTTGATGGGCATATGTTGCAGGCCAACAAATAAACTGTGTAGTTCGATGGGCATATGTTGCAGGCCTATCAAACCCCAATGTAAAATAATCAATTCTACATGTGACTCTTTGTTTCCCTATGCATCCCATGCCTACGGGATCAAAGTGGTTCTCCCTTGAAAAGAAACAAGGAGAGAACAGCGTACCACCAACTATTCTACTTAGTTTTAGTGGTGTTCGAGTTTTGAACAAAGAAGAGAGACCTATAGAATGAGACTGATGCCTTGATGGTGAATGAAAAGTCTAAGAGCTATATAGTCCGAGTGCTCTTTTACATTTCCTATGATTCATTCAAACACATAGTACTTGTTGTAGACAACGGCGGTTGGATGGATGATAAAGCTTACTTCATTGCTACCCGCTACCAACACAAATAATAGTCTTTCTCTTTCACATGGTCTAAATATAAAATTTGGCATGTTGAAAAAACAAATCAATGTTAGAAGAAATAATATTGACACGATTTTAAAAAATAAATTTGCTAACATACATGAATTAAATTTGTCATGGTCTAATTTTTTTTCACATGGTGTAAATATGAATTTGCCATGGTCATAGTGTAAAATTTTCCATGTTCAAAAAGGATTTTTTTTCATGGTTAGATAAAAAAATTGACACATTTTATAAAATATAAATTGCCATCATACATGAAGTAAATATCCATGGTCTAAAAATAAATTGCCATCATATTCAGCAAGAAGAGATGTTTAGTGAAGTGCTAGTGGGAAGTGGTTAGATTTGTTTAGTGAAGCCGGCAAGCAAAGTGATGTCAGGTCAAGTAAGCTATGGCATGTTTTAAAAATTCAGGCAAGGACTAAGTCAAACGATGACTACACAATCTACAAATCATTTTATTTATTTACCCTTTAAAAAATCATTTTATTTATTTTTTGTAAGGAAGGTATTCAGGAAGGTTGGGCGACTTGTTAGTAGATTATAACAGTTAAACATCAGTGTTAACTAGGAAGCTGCCTGGTGGGCTGGGGGCAGTTGTGTAAAATCCTATTTTCTTGACCCAAATTTCTTTGTGGCGACTACAATACAAGGGATAGACAAAATGGGAGCACGATCTGCTTCCTTATTTACCCCCAATCCTCGTCCTCCTTGACGATTAGACCTCTATTGATGCTTTATATCCAGTGAGAGGACATCATAAGCTTTTGGCTCCCATGCTAGCTTCACCAAAATATACCATGAAGAAACTTCAGCTGCACAGCAAAACATACAGCAAGGTATTGCAGATGCATTACCTTGGCGTTGCTCTTGTGTTGATGGTCTTCTGCTTGCTCTCTCCTTCCAGTTCCTGCACGGAGCAAGAGAAGAACTCCCTTCTCCGGTTCCTTGCCGAGCTCTCTCAAGACGGTGGCCTATCCTCGTCATGGCGGAATGGCACGGATTGCTGCAAGTGGGAAGGGGTCGCCTGCAAGCAAGACAGGATGGTCAGACATGTCTCGCTGCCTTCGAAGGGCCTCAAGGGGCACATCTCACGGTCCCTTGGCGCCCTCACCGGGCTGCAGCACCTCGATCTCTCTGAAAACTTGCTGTCCGGTGGCCTGCCCCGGGAATTATTGTCTTCCAGCAGCATCGTCTTCCTCGATGTCAGCCTTAACCAGCTCAACGGAACACTCCGTCAGCTGTCATCTTCACCACCTGCCAGGCCTATACAGTTGCAGGTACTAAACATCTCAAGCAACTTATTTGCAGGACAGTTTCCATCCGCCACATGGAAAGCAATGGAGAATCTGATGGCACTCAATGCCAGCAACAACAACTTTATTGGGCGGGTACCAGCTCAATTCTGTAACAGCTCACCATCCCTCGCTGTGCTCGATCTGTGTTTCAACAAATTTAGCGGCAGCATCCCCCCAGGACTTGGTGATTGCTCCAAGCTGAGAGAGCTCAAGGCCGGGCATAACAACCTCAGTGGAACGCTCCCAGATGAACTCTTCAATGCAACCTCGTTGGAATACCTGTCTTTGCAAAACAATGATTTACATGGAGTTCTTGATACTGCAAACATGGTCAGCCTCAGAAATCTCGTAACCCTTGATCTTGGAGGGAACCGATTCAGTGGCAAGATACCAGATTATATAGGCCTGTTCAAGAGACTGGAGAATCTCCATTTGAACGACAACAATATGTCAGGGGAGCTGCCATATGCCCTCAGCAACTGCACAAATCTCATAACAGTTGACCTGAAGAGAAACAAACTTAGTGGAGAACTTACCAATGTCAATTTCTCCAATCTTCCAAAACTAAAAACTTTAGATCTAGATTCCAACAACTTATCCGGCACAGTTCCAGAAAGCATATACTCGTGCAGTAATCTGACAGCGCTGCGGCTATCTACCAACAACTTACACGGGCAGCTCTCGTCCAGAATAGGTAATCTGAAGCATCTGTCCTTCTTGTCACTTGGCAAAAACAATTTCACAAACATCACAAATGCACTTCAGATCCTTAAGAGCAGCAAGAACCTGAGCACACTGTTTATTGGGCACAACTTTAGGGGAGAGATCCTCCCACAGGATGAGACAATTGATGGATTTGGAAATCTTCAGGTTCTCGATATACAAGGTTGCCAATTTTCCGGCAGAATACCTGTATGGATATCAAGGGCTGCAAACTTGCAGGTGTTACTTTTATGTGGCAATCGTCTCACTGGACCAATACCAGGCTGGATCAACTCTCTAAGTCATCTCTTTTATATGGATGTGTCAACCAACAGACTAACAGGACAAATCCCGTTAACCTTGATGGAGATGCCAATGCTAAAATCAACTGAGAACATAACTCATATGAACCCAAGGGTCTTTGATCTGACAGTTACCAATGGCCCATCACTTGAATACCGTACCATTACATCTTTCCCAGCAGTGTTGAATCTAAGGAACAACTGCTTGACAGGTGTAATTCCCCCGCAGATTGGACAGCTCAAAGCGCTTGTTGTTCTTGATTTCAGTTTTAATAAGCTATCCGGGCAGATTCCACATTCGGTTTGCAACCTCACAAACTTACAGGTGCTAGACCTGTCCAGTAACAATCTCGCAGGTGCTATCCCAGTTGCATTGAATGCCCTGCACTTCCTTTCGGCGTTCAGCATTTCAAACAATAACCTAGAAGGGCCTATTCCATCTGGAGGCCAGTTTGATACATTTCAGAATTCTAGTTTCGACAGGAACCCAAAGCTGTGTGGCTCTGCTCTCACTCAAAAATGCAATTCAGCAGAAGCACATCAACCCATCATTCCGTCCGCAAAACAAGCTGACTACAAGGTGGCCTTTGTGATTGCATTCGGTGCATTCTTCGGTGTAGGGGTGTTGTATGATCAGTTAGTCTTGTCAAGGTATTTTGGCAAGTCCTACTTCGCCTCACATATTGGTTCAACGCGTTGATATTAGGCTGCTACTCAAGGTTTAGCAACACGTCCAACAAACAAAAGCTTATCCTGTAGGTGTGAGCAAAAAAATATTCTAGGGTGAAGAGTGATATCATTCTATGGAGATGTAAAAGTATGCAACAATGTATAATGACTTGAACTAGAATATGCACTCTTTATTCTTTATGTATTAATAGCTTTAATTTCATCATTTGCTTTGCTTCCTGGACAATAAATGTTGCATTGAGGCATGGAGAATTTCAGGGTGCACTAGTAAGCGTGCACGTGGAATGGATGTCTTTGCGGAAAGACAATCTTTGCTCGTAGAATCATTCCGTGTCATTCTTCAGTTTAAACTGGTGTAATATCTATGATGCATTATCTACATCACATTTTCTTTCAAATGCACTATCTATGTCCCACTGGGTAATCTATAATTAATTGAATTATGGCTGCTCACTTAGTCACCTCAAATTGAAATACATCCAATGTGCTTTTTACCAATAAAGAAGACATGTTGAAACCAAAAAGAATGACACTCATGTCAGCTTTAAATTCGCACAAGATAAAATGGAAAAGGGGAGCAGAGCATCTCCAGTAATCTGTTTGTTGGTAAATTTATCATATCACTAACCAATAACGCATTGTACAACTATTCCAGTAGAGTGTATTTAGTTTATCCAGTGGGTGATGAGAGTCTGAGAGAATGTACAAGGTTGCTCTCATTTTACCTTGGAGCTTGTACATGGGTTATTGATTCATCCACATACAACCGCTCTCTCTCCTCATTTTCACAGACAAGCTTGAATTTTATTGGTGCCGACAACATGACTCATTGGTGAAGATGTGCCATGGTCAAGCCGGTTCTGTTCTGAATCCATAGTCCACTCTTCTCCCTACGTTCCTAAGTCTGAAACATCAAACATAAGGCATCGTTTATATTGCCAAAAATAAAAAAGGGAAATAGGTGAAGATGATACATAAGGAAAATTCTTAAGGAACCTTAAACTTCTGGTTTCCTCTTCACGTACAAGAAGGCAAGAATAAATCTATATGATTGGTAGTTTAGTACTTAAGCACAAATCTCCATCTTAAAAATAAAATATCATAGTTCATTCATATCTGATCTGAAACACAATGATGCCTACGGTCCGCCCCCACGGCTAAATGACTATGCAACAATGAAGACTCGTAGAATGGACCCAAAACACAAGTATACGATCCTCCATTCGTGGACACAAAAATGCCTAAAAGGAAGCAAATTTATGACTTTCACCCAAACACAGATTTTCATTAATACTCACGACAACTCAATGATGAAAATTTAGGAGGTAAAATAGAAGCTGAAGGCGTGATCAAAACCCAAAATAGATGACAATATAATCAATAACACTTCAATGATGCATTAACTAAGAAACTGCTCCTGGAAGCAAACCATACCTCAAGATAAAGATGAATGTTCTGGTACTTGGATTCAAGAAGATGAATACTTAAATTGGAAGCACTTGCAAAACCTCCTTCAGTGTCCTCTTCGTGCCATTACATAGCACGGCTCTCAATTTTATTAGCCCAACAGAACTGCTAAAGTTGGCTGCATAACATGCAAAGAAATCAGGAAAAAAGAAAAGGAATAGGTAGCCTATATGACAAGTACGCCTTACATTATATAGAGAGAATGTCCTGAGCTTGTGAGGCGTATACTGTCTTTTAACAGTCAGAAGACCACGAGGATCAAGGTTGAGTTGAAAAACAGCACACACTTCGGTACCTCCAGGGCTCCAGGACCAGGTCAATATCCCAATGCACTAGGGAAGTTCTACTACAAATCCAAGATGTGTTTCCAACTTGCTCAAATAGGCTGTTACTTATCTTTGGACCTGGATATCATGTACTAGTATTTGAAACAGACCAAAAGTCCAATCAAGAATTTGGAACGTGAACAATATTGACTAATGGGCAGTTACATAAGGATCAAGTTTCAGAGAATCAGAGACCAACAACTTTCTGATTGACATCTCGGTCGCACAATTTAACTTACCCGCACTATCAGGTTGTGTGATCCTTTTGTTTGCAAACTAAATCTATGGTGCTTCAGATAGCCTGAGGATTTGAACCGAAGGTAGAAGAGCGTTCAACCATTGGAGGTAAAATAGTTGTGACATTTTCTCTTCCCTGTAAATAAGTTTCAGAGATTCTTTCCATGTTATTATCTAACTTTGGATGCTAAGATCTGAATGTGTCATTGTAGAACTGCAATCATTGACTGACTGCAAACTTACACTTGGTTGAACACTTGAACTGTTGTTTTTTCAGCTGACGCCCAAGCTGTCCTTGTCGCTGCAGCTCAAGCTCCAGGCCTTCCTGCTCTGGTTGTCCGTCGGCTTCCTGATGCATGTCGGTGTGCTGCTGATCAGGTTTTCGAGCAACGTGAAGAGCGCCAAGGCCGTAAACAAACAATTAAGCAGTGCACATTTCAACTTACTGGACATCAATCTTTAGGCAGATAAATTTAAGGGTTGGATGCTCTTAATTTATTCATTTGCAAGAAAAATGATAATGCAAGGCACATCATTTTATTGTACAATGAGCTGTCCAAAAGCACCTAAGTTTCAGTGTACAATCAGAATTGCTAAGAATACAACAATATAGGTTTGTGATTTTTTATATTTGAGTTTTTTCTATTGTATCATATTATTTTCTAGAACTAATATAGAATTGGTATAGTTTATGATTGATGATTGGTAGTGGTACTTAGTATCCACCAATACTGTTAGTCGATCTGAGACTACTTACAACCATTTGCTACAAACTATGTACTGAAGGATATTGATCAAGAGCTAGCTAAACCATTCACATATGGAGTGAAAATCAAGAATTACCAGGTAATCGGTCGAAGCACACACCCGAATAAAATTTGAAGCACGTCACTGAGAAAAATACTAACAAAACAAACCTAGATGCAAGACCTCCGGCGGCAACATGCTTGAAGGAGCATTTGCGCCCACTAATTGTGGAGATGACAATGTGAGGCACCAGACTAAGGGGAAAGGTAGCGGGGCACCAGACTAAGGGGAAAGGTAGCGGGGCGGCGTCAGTGGCATGGTACAGCGGTGGAGCGTGGTGGTAATTAGAGCAATTTAGACCATAGATCGCCTTGTTGGATGAGATGATTTGGTGTGCTATGTAAGGTGTCCCAGAATTTTCCCAGAGGAATATATTTCCAATGGTGAGATTTCAGATGGCGACTCATGCTGCTCTCAGAAACATTGGGACCAGATGCAACTTATGTTTTTATCAGCTCTGTTGCTAATGTTCTTACTAACTTATTCATGCATTAGAATTTTCCCAGAGGAATATGTTTCCAATGGTGAGATTTCAGATGGCGACTCATGCTACTCTTCAGAAACATTGGGGTTAATCAAAGCGGGATCTAGACTCCCTGAAAACAGTTAATACAAAATTTTGGTTTCAAGGGATTAATTCAGACCTAGCCAATACCAACTAAATGAAGAACCAAATTACTCCATGCGCACCAAAGTTACTCAGGATAAACACAACCCTGCATTACTAAGGCCCTCCATCATTTAAATTGATTAATAGCCAGGAAACAACTGATCTGAGTTGTAACACCTAATTGAGTGCTTAGAACAGCAACAGCATGTAGTAACTGGGCTGATTCTGAGCAGAAACTCACATAGTGCAGGTCTGATTACCCATGTGTTGTATTGTCCGTCAAAAAAGTGACCTACTGACGTAAGTTGATATGCATAATATGTAGAACATTGCTGTATCAGAACCAACTCTCAATAGCTGTATCCCGCAGAGATCTGGATTTACAAGTTCTCCAATATACGTAATTTCAACAAATGACCAATACAATGTTGGAACACTCTGAACAGATATAAATTCCAATCATATCCTTGCAAATTACAATACAAATAGATGGAACAAAATCAGACTACAGTTCATGTAAACAAAATGACAATTCCTATTTTCCTTGTCCAGCGCCAAATACAAATGCCTATGATACCTTCAGTAGAAAGGCCCCTGCAAGCACAAACATCAGAAGCAAAAACAGAAAAATAGAAAAACATTAGTGATGAACCAGTGTAGTGATCAAGGTGGCCTCAGACCGTCCTAGTTCGAAAGTGTCGTCATTGCACAGACAATCTATGTTGCCTGTTCTGCAACCAATACTAATCATCACCGGCCAAGAAAAACTTTCACACTTGCAAAAACCAAAAGTACAGGAAATAAAAGTCAAGCAATGCAGAGTAAATTGTGTCAGATTCAAAGTATTCTCAGCACCCTTCCGAGGAAGTAAGACAGGGATAACTGTATTTTTACTTGTGATCTCATCATCCACATCCAAACTGAACAGATCAAAAACAATAAAAAGACACAAAAAGGAGTTGGGTGGAATCTATCAGATCTTCCTATCAATGTGAAAGAACTGACATGGTCGCCACGGTGGACGATTTCCCTTTCATAGTTTCGCATCATTTAGATCCCAAAAACACAAATACAAACATATAAGAAAGTAATACAAGTTCGGTAATATATGAGGCGTTTCCAGGATAAGCTGGCACTGAGAACGCCACCAATCAGGATATCACCACACATGAATCGCTTCTAGCGTCCGAGCTATTACCCCGTGAGGAACACAAATCATCCCCCGGAATAGGTAATGGACACGCGCATCAACTAAATTAAACCAAGAAAAAATCAGCAAAGAATCGATCTAAGATACAGGTTAAAGGCGTCGGTTTTGGGGGATCTGGGAGCTCAGACAGCCAAGGGGTTGTCTTCAAAAGCACTGCTGAAGAGGCAGCATCAGAAACTCTAGTCCACATAGATGTCATCACCGCTACTCGAACACCCCACAACCAGCCAAAGATGCAAGCAGAGAAGAACACGGATGGGAAAGAAAGAAAGAAGAAGTACCGACGGATCGATGGTGTGTGATCTGGGAGCTCAGACAGCCAAGGGGTTGTCTGCAGATGCCGCTGAAGAGGCGGCGTCAGAAACTCTAGTCCACAAATTTGTCATCACCGCTGCAAAACTCTCATCAGCCATCGAAGGGAGCACGAACAAGAAGCAAATCCAAACGAAAACCGGAAGAGCGATGTGGATCGGGGGAGGGAGCAGAGAGGGGATGGAGCCGCAGGTGGATGATTCGTTGTGGGTTGGGATTATGGAGGCGGCGTTGATGGGGATTTATAGGTGCAGCAGAAGTTTCTAGGGTTTGGGGGATTTCCTCGGTTGCAAATGGGC